GGGGGGGGGGGGGGGGGGGGGGGAGTTGGAGTTACTTCCTTATAAGAGGCTAATGGGGATGTGCCGCTGTATGGGGTCGCATTTCCAAGAGAGTTACTAGAATGGGGTCGTGCATTTTCTGAGTTTTGGGGGTAAGACAGTTCTTCATGTTTACGGTTAGCAAACGTACCAGAATGTTTGCTCTGTAGATGAAAAGTAAAGTGTTCTTCATTCAGTTTAAAAAATGTTCAATTCATAAAAATAGAAAGTGACTAAGCTGGCATCGCGAAAATTAAATATTTGTCCAAAAGTGACTTAGATGGGGTCTATCATTGGCCACAGAATAGACTATAATGGCGGTAGGGGCTCTGGGAGGCCAGCGGCACATACTAAGCAAAAATTAACCCACGTACCCCCGTTGTATCATTTACGTAAATGTATACATGTAATGAACAAAATTAAACGAGTGCAATGATCTTATGTTTATCGCACGCTTGACTTCGACGCACCTTGACTTGGAAACACTGACATAAAAGTATTATTTCTTTTTGAAAGGAGGATTTGTAATATTGACAACGTCAACTTTTTCCCATTTGTAACTGCGGTTTCGGTATTTGGCTAAATTTTGATGCGGTATTGCGGTATTCTAACGTCATAACAAGTTTCCTGGCAGCGATAGGTACGGTTCCCATCTTCTATAGCCTACGTAGCTGGCTTTGAAAGGGGTAGGGGATAGGGAGGGAGGGAAAAAGGGGAGGGGGATTGGAGTGAGAGAGGGCTCCTTTCCTTTTTCCCTTTCTCGATCCCCCCTCCCCCTCCCCCTCCTCTTTTTGCGCCTGCCACGCAGGCTACAATTTCTCCTCTAAAACCACAACAGGAAAGTTCCTTTTTTTCACTGAAGGCAAAGTAAGAGAAGAGAAAATTTGACATTATAGGGGCACAAATAGTGACAGAAACAATTGAAATATAAAAAATAGCATGTAAGAATCTCAACTAGCCGAAAATCACACCAATTCACCTGCTTCTCTCCGACCCTCTGAGCATATTCTTCATGAGTACGTTTCTAGGCCACTAGTACAGGTTTCTTGCGCCGGGATCAATTTAAACACATGGTACTTACAGTTTGTGACATTTTGCTCATAAATGCATATTTCAATATAAGTTTAAATTAAGTAAGAGAATTCATGAAAAGATACCATGTTCACTTTTCAGTGCCCGAGGAAGAACTGTAGAGGCCCAAAACATTCAGCACAGAGAAACCAAATAGAAGCTGTTGGTAACGCTGTCACTTATTGTCTTCGTTGATCCCATCTTTCGCTCTGCGTTTGCCGTTACGTTTTAATAACAGCCTTAACATTGTGATTAAAAGGGAAAATATCTTTGATGTACGAAACAGCGATTAATAGTGATACTATTTTGAGCGTAAGTGAACTTTTGTTTTTCCGCCTTTACATATGTAAGGTTTGTTAAAACATTCGTCTTGTCAAACTGCCTAGACTACTTGTCACAAAAACCAATCAAGTTATAACGATAAAACTGTCATGTTTTCAGCACTGGTGAGATAAAAACTACAAAAATACTGTTTGTACATCTGTCTGGATTTCATACAAGGTGCCTGTACTGAGTCTCTAGACGGGTAAGTCCAAGGAGCAACTACGCACCCTCCCCACCCATGAAGCTTATGACTAGTCAATCACTTCCCCCAAGCTCTGCTAGTAATGCTATGATTATGAGTCACCGCATTGATTTGGCTGGCCTAGGCCACAGGAAAAATTCTCTGACTTTGCACTGCTTTCTGACATAAAACTCTAATCAAAGTGACAGAATCTCCCCTCCCTACCCCCATGGTTTTCACACAAAACAAGGAAGCCACCACGCACGGATCGGTCTGGGTCAGGGCTCTCAGCTGACACCTAGCAAGACGGCAAGCCTCCTGGTTTTTTTCCGGCTACACTGGCTTGAACACGGGCGATGCCCGTGTTCAAGCCAAAACTTAGCGGGCACCTTTTAGCAAAATCACACAGATATTCATTGTCTTGTTTCCCCTAAAGATGTAAAATAATTTAAAAAGTCCAACTATTTTCAAGCTACCACATTTGACCAAACGTGCCTGTTTGTCCAGACAATAGTACTACAAATGTTTCTGTATTGCATTATTAAATTTATGAAATATGCCATCATTCTTTTACAGCGTGCTCGCCGTACAACAAGCGGGTGAATGCAAACTGCTGCCATAAAAATGATAAGCAAGCACCTTTTTATTTTTCTGTCAATTTTTGAATTGTCGGGGGAAATTTCGGAAAAAAACCGATGGTACATTTTTGAATTACAGTCGATTCTCCCTTAACGACTCAACGGACACCTCAATAAGACGCACATCTCGGTAACATGGACACCTAGAGTTGGTCCCTTGCTCTCTTTACTTTCTTTATAGACTCTGTATTAACGGGCAACACTCCAAGACGGACACTTAATGCCAGTCCAAGAGGTATCCTTCTTAGAGAGTTGACTGTACTTACAAAGACATTTCAGTCAACAGATGCCCTGATGGTAACTATAAGATTCCTGAAACTTACCTGCTCTGCTGAAGTTTTAAGTTGCCTCGGAATTTAGCTTACCTGTGTACAAATACCTTTGTGAAAATGTTGTGTCTTGGACAAAGTTGAAGTGATCAAGTTTCTGCTCAAAATATGCAATGTTGTACTGAGGAATAATGGCAGCAGCAAAAGAGAAGAAAGCCAAAACAAGTGAAACGAAGAATATGTGATCCATGTTACAACGAATTTAAGTTCTTGGAGGTCAGTAGACCACAGGGACCCATACGGTCTTTTCGTGTGTAACCGTTTGTAATTTTTAGTGACGAGCTTAAGTATGGAGCAGTTTTCATTTGCTCGGCACATTCAATTATGTCTGTTTGTCATTCAATTCTGCCTGTTTCTCATTCAATTTATAACAAATTAAGTCTGTTTGACATGCAATTATGCCGGCTTGTACGTTATTCAATTGTGACTTTGTTGTCACCAATTATCAATATCGATCATGGCCGATTGAAAAAATGACAGGTGTGCAAGATGCATTGGGTCAACAAAGAGGTAGCCTTAAATTAAAGGCTGGTTTTCACTAGCGACGGAGTCGGAGTCGGAGTCGGAGTCGGAGTCGGAGTCGTAATCAGTGTTCAGTACAGCGAACGGGGTTATGTTCTATGAAATTTATCTAAAGTCTGCGGCCCACATCACCACTGATCCACGATTTATTTATTTATTTATTTTATTTTCAAGTTCTTTTTAACCGATCCTCGATCCTTGATTCCTCCATCCTCGATCCTGATTTTCCAGTAAACTTTGAGGTTTTGCTCATTAAGATTATTCTCTTTTTTTTCGAACACTGAAGTGATCATTTGTTCCAAAATAATCAACACTTTCAAGCGATAGAATTCTTGGACCAACACGTTCCGGAAAAGCTCGATATGGGATTTCTATTCTATGGACATGAAGTGTTGCAAGTAGAGTGCGCGGATAGTCAAGTTCAAAGCTCTGAAAGCTACCCGTATAAACACATCCGTGATACATACGTCACGTTAGGGTGGATTTCCACTGACGCGTTTTTGGCTGTGCACGTTAACGCACGTACATTTTAATCACGTAAATAAAATAGAGGTAAGATATAAAGTGTTGAGATTAACCGTCAAGTCGAGCGAGTTTCTACTTTTACGCTTACATAATTGTACGTGCGATCTTTCATACACTGCCTCTATTTTATTTGCGAACGCAAATTTTACGCACGTACGCACGTAAAAATTACGTGACAGTGGATACTTGATATCTCAAGTATTTATAAAGTGCAACACGACTTCACATCTTAACAACTGCAAAAATCTATGAATTAAATACATAAAACAAAGTGAATCTATTTAACCGAAGATTTCCAGTAATTGCGACAATATTCTGAGAAACGTAACGCCTTAAAACACCACAAAATAGGATTTCCCCGTTATAATATTTTCTCATCCTACTTTGGGATATTTCCTTTTTAATCAGTGCCTGCATGTCGTGCATAATTACACGAAAATCAAGGGCCTCCATTCGAGGAAAATTACATCATTGCCAAACTTACAAGCGTCATTTGAGTCATCGCCCAGAGTCATCGCCGAAAAAATAAGCATGCTCATCAGGAGACTCATTTGCATACAGTGAAAGTCGCCACCATTCTTATCCCCAGTTTCCACGGTCATTGCTAGGAACGCGTGGCCTACAAACTAGGTCCCACCGACAAAAAAAAGAAACGACTGCATTTTTAGAGTCTCGCTCTGCTAAAAACAAGCTCGACTAATTAGTACACATTGCGGTTGATTCCTAAATACTAGAAAATTTAATGCTATGTAAGCGAATAACTAGGTCTCAAGTTCTGCCATGAAAATAAGACTAATTTGGACAAACAAATTACAAATAAACTTGGTCAATTTTATTAAAAACAGTTATAAAAATTCCACTTCATAATTACATCGTAAATGTAAACCTATATTTTTAAAGACAAGTTGCAGGTGACCTGTCTCTTAAGTTAGTTGCTTTGCACTAATTTAAAAAAGATTCAAAAAGACTTATCATGGTATTCCATCAAGATTAAGATGCAAACACTTATTTTGGAAGCGAATACTTTTTTATAATAAGTTGGTCTACTCTATGAACATGCGAATAAGTTGCAGTTCTTGTTCACGGGCTTGTGTGACGGTTGGTGGGTCCTGAGGGTTGGATGCCCTAAATGAAAAAAAAAAAAAACCCAGCAAAACCGGTGAAAAAGAGTCTCCCCACATTCCGTTCCACTGAACGCACAATAATAATAATACGAGATCAAGGCTCTGGATAATTTCACCGAAAAAAACTGTATTTTGTCAACTCAAGCTTTAAGTTGGAGCCTCTGCTCATAGGACTTCAGAAAAGTTGTATCGTAGTTTGTATTGTGCTTTAATATCCCTTAATAGTGTAATGTAGTTTAGGTTACCGTAAAATTCCGAAAATAAGCCCCTCCATGCATAAGCCCCCCAAACCGGTAACGCAAAAAACCCTCCATTAAATCGCCCCTCCAAATATAAGCCCCCCGGGGGGCTTGTACTTGGAAAATTACCCTCAAATACAAAGTAACACAAAGCCAAAACGGTAAATTTACTTCCAACGATAAGGCTAGCCCAATCGATTTTGAAACGCAAATTTCCCTCCGTAGACAAGCCCCTCCGAATATAAGCCCCTCCAAAAATAAGCCCCTCAAAAAGGGCCTTTGAAAAATATAAGCCCCGGGGCTTATTTTCGAAATTTTACGGTATTTCATTCAAGGGCACAACACTGTAGGCATGGACAGTGTCCAACCTCGCTTCTTCAATAATGCATGGATTGTATCAGTGTATAGCATATTACGGTATGCTGTCAGCAGGTTGTGATGTCACTGCCTTCTAAAAAACGGACAGAATAGTCGACAGGATATTCAATGCAAGAAGGGCTTTTTACCCAATCTGTGCTTTATAGATTCACTTCTCAATGGAACGCCAATCATTATCTCGTGCTCTTGAGCTACAGAGAAGAGAGCAAACTTTCAAGAGTTGTGACTGGACTGAAATTACAAAATAATTTCCTGCATTCAGATCTTATGGTGTCTAATGCGTTCTCTAAAATAGTCAAAAACGTACTCTTCAGAGATTTATTGGGTAAGCAAAGCAACAATTGTACAGCAAATACCTCAAGTCAAGATGATGGGCTCCACCCTTGACCGGAAGTGCAACAAGTGTTGCGGAAACATCTTCAAGAACCTAAAAAGAACAGAAAATAATCACTTGCATGTTTCTCGGCAAGTTCATGATATAAAGACATGTTTAGTCCTGCAGATATTCTATAAATAGCCGATGTCATTCATCGAGTTGTATTTTTGCTGTTCTTGCTATGTTTTTAGGCTGAATAGTTCGGCTATTTCTTCTTCATGAAACGTGTGAAATGCTCCGCCATATTGTACTGCTCTAACAGGGAGTCCATTTTTCTGGCATTTATGCTGTACTATTGACGTCATTTTCCAAATATCGCAAACGTCCTCCAAATTTGGTCAACGCTAGCTGGTAATAAAGAATTAGCCGCAGGATTTGAACGAATCAAAAAAGAGAAAAACAGTCTAGGAGAGAATAGATCTCACAGTACTATCTCAATGTGGCAACAGTTGCCCAAAAGTATGTGAAAGTGAATTCTACGCCAGTTTACTGAATACATTGTTGAGTTACAGCAGTCTCCCTCGCAGGAGGTTTTTGTCTCGTCAAGAAGCGTTGCGTGACGAAACAAAAATGGCTGTGCGGGAGACTAGAGTTGCAGCCGCTACGTTAAATAACATACCCCTCCTGGCCTCCAAGGATCTAAGTCACCGTTGGAGAAGATAATGTTGGAAGCAAAAGATATATCTGATGGGAAAAAATAAGACTACATTAACTTTGTAAATAATTTACATAGAATGAAAATTTAGTCAGAGTGAGGTGGGACACACAACAAACTACAAAATATGATCTTCACGCCAGGTCGATAAAACGCAACATCAAAGTTTCAGTGTAACTCACCTTTCCCCCAGAACTGAATGATGGGCCAGTTGGATCGTTCAGTCACACCCCATTTATCCTGGCAATATTTTGCTCTCATTTCAGGGGTGAAGGGTAAAGCTGGAAACATGTCTGTCTTGTTATTTGAGCCTGCAGGCAAGCTTACCTCAGTGCATGCCTGAAAACAAAAATAAAATTAAATTAAAAAAATCGCAAAAGATAATTTTGTTACTTACAATGTCCGTTGCTAGACTACTCCAATAACAAAGGAGATGACCCAAGAATTCTTTTAAGTCTTAAAGGATTGCCATGTGGTGTGCTCGCGGCTACCTTGCAGGGTTTTCCCGCCGCCTGCTTGGCTCAGTTGGGAGAGCGCCGGTCTGCTGAGCGGGAGGTCGCGGGTTCGAACCCCGGCCGGACTAACACTCAGGGTCTTTAAATAACTGAGAAGAAATTGCTGCCTTTGTAATGACATCTGTAAACGGTTAGACTTTCTAGTCTTCTCGGATAAGGACGAAAAAACCGTAGGTTCTGTCTCACAGCACTTACACTTATCTGGTTCTTGTGGGATGTAAAAGAACAAACACCACTGTTCGAAAAGAGTAGGGGACGTAGACCCCGGTGTTGTGGTCAACCTTCACACATCACATCATTCACATCATGGAGTGGGTGGGTACAGTAAGCTCATATATGGACTAAGGGCGGCTGCCTGTGGCACCTTTGTATGCTGACGTCCGAGCTTACTGTTCACATGTTAAAATGTATTGTAAAGAGGGCACGTCTGTTGTCCTCTCATCCACGACTATTCATCATTCATTCACTCCTGGAGGATAATATATCGCATAGCTCCCAGATCAGCTGTGTGAAAAGCCAGGGATAGCTTTGAATGCCGGAGGGGATAGCCTTGGACATTCTAATTTGTGGTGCATTCATTACAACTCAGAAAACAGGTCATTTTTTTAAATAAAAAAATCGATGAAGTAACAACAAATGGCAGAGAAGATAAATTGTCCTTTACCACTCCCTGCTTTCACTAAATCATCGTAAATTCTTTGGAGTAGTTTTTCAGTTTCAGTACCTCGCTACTTGTAAGCAGCAATACCTTGCCCAAATATTTGTTTTAAATTTTTGTTTTTGTTTTTCTAACTACAAACAGTATTTCCTAATCACTCTGTAGTTTTCTGTAGGTTTAGTTGAAATATCACTAAAATAACTGTTTTGTGTTGTCAGTATCGAAAGCTGTGACCTGAATAACTCAACTTTGCTGTTTATAACATGACCTTTGGTAAGCAAAATGCAACTATGATAAAGAGCATCTCTCTTCGTTAATTCTACCATTGAATGTAAAAAGAAATAAATAAAAAATTATAATAAAAAAAATAGTTTAACAATAGATGCATTTTTCTTCAGTGTATTTCTTGGTCCCTTCAGGAATCCCAGCCAATGTAAGATAAGCTTTTATTCAGGTACACAAAGACTATTACAGTAGCCCAGTGTTGGGTTGAAGTCTGTTGAAAGCAAATAATTTAATTAACTATTGCAGTATACATATGAAAATGAAGAAATGATCGTCGCAGTGAACGCAACTTATGCAATTGTGTAAAGAAGCCTGAAAAAAATTCAGGACTTCAATGGGGTTTGAACCCGTGACCTCACGATTACCAGTGTGATGCTCTACCAACTGGGCTATGAAGCCACTGACGTTGACCAGGTATTAGTATCAGGCTTCTTTACGTAATTGCATAAATTGCATTCACTGCAACGATCATTTCTTCATTTTCATTTCATTTCCGCAGTTCATATATGATTTATTTCATATATCATTACCACAGTACACATAGTTTAATGCACCAACAGGTTTCTTTGCTATGTACCTGATAGTCCCAAGCAAGGCTATCTGGACCAAGACCACAACCTGTAGGATCTGCACATTCAATGTACTCAGTATCTGGATCAAGGCATGATAGTGTTCCGTTGGTTCCATTGTACACCAAAGCT